TTCATTTACTTGACTTAATTTCTCATCAAGAGATTCTTTAAGTGTATCTAAATTTTGTTTAAGTGAATTATTAAGTTGTTCAGTTAGTATTCTTGATTCTTCACTTCGTTCAAGTTCACCATGTAATCGAACACTAACTTCTTTTGCAATAAGTAATTCTTCATCTAATTCACGAACACGATGATTATCGCGAATAATTTGTTGAATTTTTTCTAAATTATCATATAAATAAATAATTAGGAAATATTGATTTTATCTTTAAGAGTATCAGCTAAGCTATGTGTGCAAAATCACTCTCAATAATATATATATATGATCAATTTTCGTATGCTTACATGTCAGTAGAGGATCAAAGCAGTTAGAATAACAAACTTATGTTGCATCTAGATGTATATATATCCGGAGTCTGTTTCTAACTGAAATATGATCGTTTAAGAAAGAACATTTTAATGACGAATCAAAAACAACACGCATACAAAAAATTAAATTAAAGGATCACAAAAACTACTTGTTCGTAGTAGAATTCGATACTTTTTCTTAATTCATATTTATGATTTCTATCTGACTTAGCTAATACTATTCTCTTGTTCTAAACTTGAATTTAAAATATGTTCTCTATTAAATTTCGATCTACAAGGTGATGTATATTAGTTATTTATTTTGATTCTCTCGAGTATCAAAATATTATAGGAAGCCTTTGATATAGAACTAGTCGTATTTGATTATATGAACAATATATTGTAATTATATTACGTAAAGGTCGAATTCATAGATTGTTGGTTGTTTTAAGTCAACAATCAATACTTGTCAAGGTTAATATATAATCGATTTGATTAGTATAGATTACTAATGTAAAAAGATCAAATACAAAAGTCTATTTGATCTTTAAAAAAGATTGAATGAATACTTAAAATTGCAAATCGTTATTTTTTCTTCTCCTCTTCTAATAGGACTGATGATCATATCATAATTACTCTTTTTTGATATTAATTTTAATCCTGTTTATATATCATTGAGAATTTTTATTATCACAACAATCTTTCAGATGATAGTTAAAACAACTTTATGTATATATATAAAATAGTATTGCCTAATGCAAAATCAATAAATAATGTAAGTCTTAGATTACAAAAAAAATAATTGTTTAGAATTTCTAACAAAATAAATCTAAATTTTACCTTCTAAAACATCTTTTTCAGCTTCAGTATTTTCATTACGTTTTTCTGCTTTACGTAATTTAAATTGAAGAATTCGACAATTTTTAGCTAGAAAATATATAAAACATATGTAAAATCAAAAACTATAATTATCTATTAAACAAACCAGCCACTTCAAGTTCTGCTTGTAATTGTTTAAATTCTTCAGCATCTTCTGTACGAAATTGATCTGTAATCTCATCCATTTCCTAAAACAACCGACATGAATAATAAATACTAGAATAGAAATTTTTTTCTGCTTCATTTCAACAGAATTATCATTCATTTGAAGCATTTTTCTTTTCTTTTTTTTTTCTCCTCTCAAGGGTATTCATGAAAAGATCTGTGTCATCGACATATCTATTTCAAGTATATCTCTTTATGCATTTCATGTCCTTATCAAACATGCTAAGGATTTGATGTATAAATCGCACCGATGTCATCATATGATTATATTATCAATATCGATTGAGCATGTCCAACAAAGTCATGATTTACTATTATGAATCAATAGAAGAGAAAAAAATAATAAAATACATACGCGTCGTATATCATGAAGTTCTTGTCTAAGTGCATCATTTTGTTGACGAAGTGCATCGCATGCAATAATTGGATCAGAACTTGTAATATTGATACTTTCTAAATAGGCATTTAGAGAAACTTAATGTATTATTCCAAGGATAATAACTCATCAATCGATGAACTTATCATAGATAAAAGGATGGTGCCTAAATATATTGACTTATTTCTATTCTGTTATATGATGAATAGAGGTATTGACAATCTGTTAGGTAATTTGATCGTTATTATGTACAATGATGATAGGTAAATCCATAGTGATCGATAAGGAAATTAATAGCTGTCAACATTAAAATGTATCCCTCTCACATCATTTCAAGGTTTTTTAGTTTTATTGAAAGACAAGAAACCATATATATCTTATTTTTTCATTATTGTCTGTCAAATTATTCTCCTTGAGAAGAAAAAAATGATCGAGGTTAGTTTTTACATATAGATGTCATATATATAATAAAGAAAAGTCATAAATATGCAAAAATAAACAATAAACAATCAATATTGTGTCATTACTCGCAGTTGTATATCAATATGGAAACATCTCTCTGTTGCTGATATATATCTATATGCAGAACGAGAGAGAGAGAGTGGGAGAGAGAAAGAAAAAGATTGAAGAGTGCTAAGATTAATGATGAACAATGAACAGATGTGTATATACGAGTTATTGAAGACTATCTGGTCTATAAGACAGAAAAGGTCAGAATCTGTTCGAGTTACGTGATCAATAAAGAAAGCGAATAGGCAAGTCTATTCAATAGTATCATCGATTAGTATAACAGAAAAACGAATTTATACATAAGATCAAAGAACAGTCAAATAGGAAGAGTACGATAAAAAATGATTTATATTTTTCCGCTATATTGTTTTTTTTTATAAACGATGCATTAAGTCAAAAAGATAATGTTAGCTTTGTTTAATATTTAAAATAAATTCATTTTTATATTATAAAGTCGTCATATTTTTTTTCTTCTTCTAACAACATATTAATGTCAATTTCTATATATAGAAGTGTCCATGAAAATGATTGACAGTTCGTTCTGTTTATATTCAATACTTACCTTTATTATTATGAGATTGTTTGAGTGGTATAATATTGTCATCGTTTGTAATAGAAGTTTTTATAGTACCATTAATATCAGTAGAAATATTATTGGTAGGTTTTTTAATAATAGTAGCCATTAATAGAAATTGTATAAATTGTAAATGAACAAATTGAAATATATTATTTTGTAAGTAAAATAAGTCACGCACGATTGCGTGATTATAATAACATGGAGAAACTAACTAATATTATTATTGAAGAAGACAAAAATTGTTCAATACAGTATTCGTCTTTCTTGTTCTCTTAGTTTCTATTGATTCTTCTTCCTTCTCCTCCTCTTCTTCGTATTATTTTTTCTTACTTTTTTTCCTTTCTCCTTCCCTTTCTCTCTCTCTCTCTCTGTGTTTCTATCCGTTTTTCTTTTGCGTCTGACTAGTAAATTGCGTACTACAAAAGACAAACGACAATACAAAAGTATTATGAGAATGAATAATACGAAGACGAGGAAGAGAAATAACTGTACAATACGCACATACGTATATACATTAAATAGTTAGAGAAAATGGAGAGTTCTTCTTCTTTTTTTTTTCTTTCCTTACTCTCCTTTTTTCGCATTTCTCACTTTGCTGCCAACGCGTGCAAAAGAAAGCAAAAGTATATATATATATATATATGCTTGCATTATACTACCGTATACACAAGAGAGATAGTCAAGAAAGAAAGAAAAATATATTTTACATATATAGATGCACAGAAATGATGGAATTTATCAGACTATTTTTGTGTTCTTTCATGCACTTTTGCCGTTACTATTGACTGATGATATCGGAGATGAATCCAAGATGATGAGACACATACATCATCCCTCCCATTGTGCATCAAAATTTTGCTGCTAACGATGATTACATCGTTCAGATCAACGATGCGGTCAAGAAATGCTGTTATTTGATAGAATGTTATCAATTGTGAATTGATTAGTTTTAAGGCACGGATACACACATTAACAGTCTACGTTTTTCTCTTTATTATTCGGTCAATAGTGTAAAAGATGTTCTGTTGATAAATAAGTACATTCTTGTAATTCCTTAAGCAAATATAAGTCTGTACAAAAAAAAAAAGTCATGTTTGATTATCTATATGAATGATATTATATTGTTTGAATTT